AAATCATGAAACTATGAGGGAGGATTGTGTTGTTTACCTTGGTTTTGATCTTGAGAGAAGCAAGAACACTTCAAGAACTTCTCAATTTCGAAATTATGGCAGAGAATGGAGGATTTTCTGATGTGTAGGAGTGGTCTTGGAAGTGGGAGAGTTTTCTTGGAGAAGGAGTGTGAGATGGAGTGTGTAGGTGGTTCAAATGAGGTGTAATGATGGGTTTTAAGGCATGGGGGAGAGGGAAAAGCCTAATGGACGAAAATTTAAGAGGGATATGGTATTTTTATTGGTATTTGATCAAATAATAAAAGCCTCCCTTGAATTTTTATAAATCTAGATTTTAAATTTTATAAAACTCAAACATTTTCATAATCTCCTAAGGTTTTAATTATTGGGTTTTGTTGAGGTATTTACACTTGGTAATGACTTCCAAAAATTATATTTGTTGAATTAATTTATATAATGATAACCTATTATTTAATTTTTATAAAAATCAATTTATCATATTTCAACAATTCTAACAAGGATTCGTAATATGTGATTGTAAGAATTTGATATTCTTGGATTTTACTTTTGGTTCACATTTCGAATCATGAAGTGTATGAATTTGTCATCAACTTTATAGTTGGTTCATATTATGATCTAATTTTTGTTCATATTAGCTTGTGATACTTAACCTTGTTAAGCATCAATTTGTTCCAATATGAAATTTTTAGGGTTAATAACCTACCCTTGAGTTGTAATCTATCGAACATAGTTTTATGTTTAGACTTAAGGTTCAGCTTTGGCACTTTACCACTCAGTTGGTTACTTTACATATCAATGTGATCGTTCAATACAACTAAGGTACACTACTTGTTCCGAGGGATCTATTAAGTCACAAACCTAGTTCAACTTGTAACTATAGAGCCAAGTTAAGTGCACACAAGGAAATGACAAGGTTCTAGATGAGTATTGACCTGAGTTTTGGTGGATGTCACAATATGCATCGAGTAAATACATAAAATGCAATAAAAATAAATATAAGGGTAAATTACACGAATAGTCCTTGTGGGTTGGGGTAATTTGCGCGTTTGGTTCCTAACTTATTTTTTTAACTCGGATGGTCTCCGATATATATATTTTTATTTCGTCATTGGTCCCTGACATAAATAAAAACACTATTTTGCCCTTAATATATTTTTTTCTAATTTATTGTTTGTTTGTTTATTATTTATAATTTATTATTTATCCTCAATTTATTGAAATCATTGGCTTCCCTTGCCTGCTGCACATTTCATTTCAGGCCATATTACATGTTACCATCTCCAGCGACCATAATATACACCACCTCATCCGAAAAACTCAAAGAATCTTGTAGTGATCTGATAACAATGAACCTGATAAAACGAGCTTGATAAAACCTCCAGAAAAACAATTGTAAAGATCATTACACAACTATGGTATCCCAAAAACGAACCTGAACAAAATCCCAAAATCAACTCCCCACTGAATCCAGAAATAACGATGGCTGATGTATGAGATCGGAGTTGTAGAGACAAATTTGAAATCATATTTTACACAGATAGCAGATCGAGGCTAGAAGTGGAAAAGAGAATAGAGATCTGATGACTTTTCTTGTGATGCTTCCTGCAACAAAAAAGAGGAAGTAGAGGCTTGGGTTCCAATTTCCGGCGAGGTTTCCCGTTTCCAGTTATGTTCGTTCGTGGGGTGTTTTTCCACAGATCGATGACGATGGTACAAATCGACAACGATGGTGCAGATCGGGGATTCACAATGCAAATCGATGGAGCAGACCAACAACTTTAGAGTCCAGATATGCGAATGTAGGTAGAAAACGATGACGTATGGAGGTTTCCGGTAGCTATAGACCGGCGACGTCCAATGGTTTTCGGTGGTCTGGAGGCCCGGTAACGCATGATGATCTAGAGAGTTCTTTTTGGTTTAGAGGTTTAGAGAAAAGACATGGAGGAGATATATCAGATTTTAGGAGTGCTAGAGATGGAGTTGACATGGTGAATATGGGGTTGGGGTTTATTTAATTCAATTTAATTTTTAAAATAAATAATAAAAATTAATTAATAAAAAATTAATTAATAAAAGAAATAGAAGAGGGAAAATTAGTCTTTTCATTTAAGGCAAGGACACAAAAAAACTTGAAGTATGGACCGTCCGAGTTAAAAAATTAAGTTAGGGACCAAACATGCAGATTACCGCAAACCACAATGACCATTCGTGTAATATACCCTAAATATAAAGACTTGATAAATCCAAATATAAAAATGTTCCTAATATTAAATATAAATATTAAACAATAATATAAAGCGTAAATAATAAATAACACAAAAAGATTGGTTGACTTCTCTATTCAACCGTTACCACGGAAGCAATCACATCTCTATTGGTTTACATATTGATTTAGTAATAAAAAAAAGGTCATTTGTTATAGGGGGATTTTAAATACACCCGAAAAAAAATCAAAACCACTTATTGAAAACTATTAATGGTAAACTTAATTAAAAAAATATTAAATATGTAATGATGGCTTTATTGAATGACAGATTAAGGGTTACCGATTTCAAAACTATTTTAATGTATTTGTTTAGAGTAAATTACAGAAACGATCCTTGTGCTTTGGTTTTATTTTCAGTTTTGTTTCCTAATTTAAAAACTAATAGGTTGTATCCCTATAATTTATGAATATTACACTTTTAGTCCTTGTTTCAAATAAAAACACTAACTTATTCTTCCTTTTTCTTTTTTATTTTTTTTAACAATTTATTATTATTATTATTATTACATAACAATTTTATTTGTTCTTTATTTTAATAGAGTTTGTATAGATTTCATATAGTTTTTTTTTTCAAATTAATTATATATATATATATATATATATATATATATATATATATATATATATATATATATATATCAAAATTACAAAAATGGTCCTTATGGTTTGCCAAAAGTCACAAAGCCAGTCTTTGATAATTTTTTTTACGAATATGGTATCTGTGGTTTCTAAAACTTGCATGAATGACCCTTTTTGCTAACGTTGTATTATACATAATTTGATTTTTATTAATAATTTTCATTTGTTAACTTAAAAAAAACTATTTTTACGTGTTTATTTTTATATATTTGTCGGTATAATTCAAGGTGGTTAACCTTTTCTTTTGTTATTTTTTTTAAATTACATGGTTTTTTTATAAACTTTTCGGTTTAAATTCGAATTTGTTTACGTTTCGAACAATAAAAAATAACGATCACAAACAATTAAACGAACAATAAAAAATATAATATGATATTTTTTCACAACTATAACAAATAAAATTATCATTTTCATTTACTACCGTTTCGTCAAACAATGTCATATTTTAATTTTATTAATTATCAGGGACATTAACTACATGAATATTATAATTATTACGTGGTGCATTCGGTGGAATATATGCATTAAGTCAAGCATTATACAATATTTCTCATCCAGCGGCACGTTCTGATCTGTGGTGACGCCAAAGTGACAAAACTGTAGACATTGGATGTAATTCTTGTAAATCAACTTTTACGTAATGGTCATTATAAACGAAGGCGATAATAATAGATCTATGATGTGAAATATCTTGCGGACTATGCCAAAGTGGAAAACAGGTCGACGAACCTTGTTTGTCTAAAAAATAGACAATTACACCATACTTATTAGCGATGAGAAATCCAGTTATGAATGGAATCAAGTGGTATTGGATTTTCATTTTTTAAATATACCGCTTGTTCGTGCGCACATGGTAGCCCGTGTCTAGTACGCAGTTGACATCCACAAATTTCAAGGAATTTGATTTGTTCAAATTCCTTGAAAATTATTTCAAGTGCATAAATTGAAACATTACCAACCAAATATCTGAAAATTGGATAGACGAAACGATGTCGTGCAATAATCATGCTCTGTCCTAAACTTGCTTTGATTGCATAGTCTTGAGACTGAACAGCATCATGAATTCTTGGTAATACCGTCGCTAAATCTGATTGTGATGAGTCCAAGTATAATTTTACTTTGGCATGCTGACTCTCCACTCTATTGGTTGTGAATTCTTGGTAATACCTTCCCTCGCCGCCCCTTCAGCCCCGCCGCCCTTGGACATGGTTTGTGATGGATTTGGCATCAACGTTGCCGTTAGAGATGAGAAGGACATAAGATTCAAATACTTATGGTTCATATGTGCCAGGATTCTCTGTGTAAGTCGATAAATTACAAAATTACTCCATGAAATAGCTTCTGGATCGATAATTTTATATTTAAGTGTATATTTCTTATAGGGCTGCAACAAATGATTCTGTTCTCGTGTCCATTATTGAAAATCTAAACAAGGCTTATCCACTTGGGTTTATGTTGTTGTTCAATCTTTGACTTTTTTTCCTTTATGTAACGTCGGAAGGAATCAGCCAAATAATGCTGCGAATTAATTGCCTGATGAACTTGGATTATAGAAATGTTTAAGAGAGTTAAATGTAAAATGAACATAAGTACAGGCATAACCCATCTTCGGCTGAGCATTTCCTTGGTGAAGATTTGTGTATTGTTAGATTTGTGGCAGTTTTTGATTTTTGAAGAGGGAGATAGAAGGGATATGTGAAATGATCAAAATACTCTCATATGCGGTTTAATGGTAGCAAGGCTACTGGTGTTAGGTGAAAGGGACCAAAGGTGCAATGAAACTAGTAACTAGCGATGAAAACTGAAACAAATGAACCTTGTGGACTAAACCTGTCACATTTTAGAAACCACAAAGACTAAACATGAAATTTACTCTAAAAAACAATTTGAATAATACAAAAGTTCGGTTGACTTCTCCATTCAAGCAGTTGCAACGTAAGCAAAATAATAAAAAAGTTTAGTTGACCTTCTGTTTTTTAATTTCACGGGGGCATTTGAAATTTCTTCCAATCTTCCTTGACGTGTATTGTATATTAATTACCCACAATATGTATGCCGTCACCATGTTGAAAATGTAATAACTAGCTGTTACCGATCATTGGGCCGTGTAGTATCAAACATCCCTAATTTCTCTGCAATTACTTCGTAAGAATCTCTCTCAAGAACGATTCGATTTGTAGAAGATCCATCAAGAAAACCTTTAATGGCGTCTTCTTCAACATCATCCAATCAAAAGAGCTTTAAGTATCATGTGTTCTTAAGTTTTAGAGGAGAAGACACACGTAAGACCTTTGTTGATCATCTTTACAATGCTCTTAAGCAACTAGGTATTCACACCTTCAGGGGTAACGAGGAACTTGAGAAAGGAAAACGAATCGTTGAGCTCTTTAAAGCCATTGAAGAGTCGAGGTTCTTTATCATTGTTTTCTCCAAAAACTATGCATCTTCGTCTTGGACTCTTGGTGCTTGAAGGAGGTTACAAAGATTATGGAGTGTCAGGATGAGAAGGAACAGATTGCTTACCCGCTCTTTTATGATGTGGAGCCCAGCGACATCCACAAACGAAGTGGGCCAGTTGGAAGATCCATCGCCAAACATAAGACCAACAAACAGATTAAGAAATGGCAAAAGGCTCTTGAAAGTGCAGGCAATCTGGTTGGCTGGGATCTGAAAAACATTGCTAATGGGTATAACTAAGTATTCTTTCATTTTTTGTATTTCTAATCTAGGTCCAGCTCGGGATGTAGAAGGGTCATCCATGGCATTGACGTTATGTTATAAAATTTTAACTCAAAGTTGAGTCTTCAATGTGCTAATAGAACCTTCATTGATTTATGGAGTATAGCTTAGATTGTTAGTTAGTATATATATAAATTTTAGAAGCAATAGGCTTATAATTAGTACTACCTAGTACCTATTTCCTTGCTTTGTATTGCAATCCATTGCAATTGTTTCCTTCAAATTTAAGAGGAATATTTGCTTTTTTGCAACAGCTCCGTAAGCCCTTCTGTCATCTGTTTTCCGCTGTTTCCACAGCAGCAAAAATTTACTTTTTTTCTTCTCAATTGAGCCTTAAAACCCAGTAGCATACATTGATTTCTTATTTCCAACATTCTAGATGGATATATGAAACATGAAATGTGTATCTTATTATTACTTGCAAATTGTTGTATGTTATAGTGCTGAAACTAATTGATTATGTGGGATATTCTTGAGCAAGCTACTTGAATACTGTTTAATCTACAGGCATGAAGCTGAAGCCATCAAAAAAATTGTTAAAGAATTTCACTCAAGTTACGCTCCATTCATTTGAGCAATGATGAAAATGTAATAGGCATGGACCGCCGAATGCAAGATATGGAATCGTCTTTGGGGATCGGTTTGAATGATAAAGCGCGCATGATAGGGATCAAGGGGATGGGAGGCATTGGAAAGACAACTTTAGCCAGAGCTATTTTTGATAATGTATCTTCCCATTTTGAAGGTAGTATCTTTGTTGATGACCTAAGGGAAGTATCAAAAAAGAGGGGCTTAGAGTCATTGCAAGAACGAATCCTTTCAGGTGTTCTAAAAGATGAAAACATGCGTGTGGGGAGTGTTCATGATGGGAAAGAATTCATGAAAATGAGGTTACCCTATAAAAAAGTTCTTCTTGTTCTAGACGATGTGGATGATGAAGAGCAGCTTGAGGCGTTAGCTGGTGATTGGTTTAAGGACGGAAGTAGAATTATCATTACAACAAGAGACGAGAAAGTGCTGCTAGCACATGGAGTAGATACAAACTGGATTCATGATGTCAGTTTCTTGTCGGATGAGGAAGCAATTAGCCTCTTTAGTAGGTATGCATTCAAGAGATATATTCCAGATCAAGGATATGAAGAGCTTTCATTAGAAGTAGTACGTTATGTTGCTGGTCTTCCCTTAACGGTTAAAGTTTTGGGTTCCCATCTGCGTGGTGAAAAGAAGCTTGTATGGAGTGATGCACTAAAAAGACTTAAAACAATTCCATCACGGAAAACTCTAGAGGTATTGGAAATAAGCTATAACAGCCTAGAGGATGATCACAAGGAAATGTTCTTAGATATTGCATGCTTCATGAATAAGTGTCCTAGAGTGTATGCAGCTAGAATCCTTGATAGCTGTGGGTTTAGTGCCGCATATGGTTCAAGAATTCTTGAGCAAAAATCTCTCATAACAATTTCAAATGATAAATTGAGCAGATTGAGCATGCATGATAGACTAATAGAATTGGGATGGAATATTGTTCGGCGATGGCACCCCCATGAGCCGAACAAACATAGCCGACTCTGGATTCGCGAGGAAATTGAAGAATTATTCACAGATGATGTGGTAAGGATCAGCTTTACTAAAACTAACAAATTTTCTTTACATATATGACACAATTTTCATGGTGACTGCTTTTGGATTATAGGGTGCTGAAGCATCAACATGTATAGGACTACACCTGGTGCGGAAGGAACTGAGTCCTGAAATTATCATCAAAAGCCTTGGAAACCTGAAGAAACTTAGATTTCTTTGTCTTGGTGGGAAGGGCGATGACTGTTTCCCTGGTGACTGGACGTTTGATCAAACAAAACAGTACGTTCCGAATTCGTTACAGTTTCTGGGTTGGAATGGTTACCCTGGTTTGTCTTTACCCCAAACATTTCGAGCAAATAATCTTGTTGGACTTGGATTGCCTGGCAGCAGAATCACACAACTTTGGGAAAGTGGAGAACGAAAGGTACATTGGTTGATTCATTGTAATGTTTTTGGTCTATTTGTTATCTAATTTTTGTTCTTTTTGCATTTGATAGGTTCTTAAGAAGCTCAGGTTCCTCAACCTAAGTGATTCGAAGGTGAGGACCCTTGACCTTGGGATGACTCCGAATCTTGAGAGGTTAAGTCTTAGAGATTGTCATGACTTGACACAAATTCATGTGCCCGCTGGATGTCTAGAAAGGCTTGTTTTCGTAACTTTAATTGGTTGCTCATGGTCTGTATCTTTTTCTTTGCTTAAAAAGTTGGAATCACTTGTGCTTCTAAGTATGCCTGAGTTATCTGTGGCTGTGAAGCGCTTGGGGGAATTCCCAAGGGACTCCACAAACAATCTACCAATGTTAAGATTTGCATTCCACTATACTAAAGAAAAAACCGTGTCATATGGAATTGATTCTAAGGCTGTCGTATTAGATCTCCAGCCTTGCAAAAAACTTGAGTGTTTCAGGAAGCATTTGTGGTTTACAACATCTAAGAGAACTTACATTCCATGGTTGTATTCCGGAGGTGCCCAATGACCTTGACCAGTTGAAATGCTTAGAACAGCTCACTTTGTACTCTACACACATCAAATGTCTTCCTGATAGCCTTTGTATGTTGAAACATCTGAAATCTCTCACACTTAAAGATTGCGTATATCTTGAAGAGTTACCGGAGAATCTTGGTTGGTTAAAAAAGTTAAGAGGGGCTGAGATTGGTTTCTACAAGTATTAGTCGTCTTCCAGATAGCATTTGCATGCTGATTCATCTGAAATCTCTAATACTTGAATCTTGTGGACTCCTTGAGAAGTTACCCGAGGATATTGGGCAATTAGAATGTTTAGAGGAGCTGAACCTGAAAAAATGTGCATCTTTAGGAGATATTCCAAACAGCATCTGTAAGTTGAAATATTTGAAATATTTCCATCTCCCCTTTTGTTTTCAAGTTGAGAAATTGCCAGAGGAATTTGGAAATCTAAAGACTTTAAAAGTGCTAAATATAGCGAATACAGGAATAAGTCATCTTCCACACAGCATTTCTTCGATGAATGATCTGATTATTTTCGGATCCATATCACTTCTTCAGTCGTGTGCTTTTGCAACCGAGATAAAGACCTCAGAAAAATTTGGAGCCTTCTGCTACATACAAGCCGTGAGTAGCACACCTGCACTCACAAAAGTAAGGAGCCAGTCCACAGAGAACTGTCTTTTGAGGTATTTTCTTCCTTTTACCATTTTCAAATTTTTATGAGCTACTGTGTGTGTCTGTTTTGGTAGGTGAACGTGAGTGTGAGAGAGAGGGGTGGGGGCCTGGGGGTGGGGAAAGAGAGGTGGGGTTCGGTGTTATAATTTTAATAATAGTAAGGTTTTTAGATAATAGAAAGAAAATTAAAAAATAAATTTATAAAGAATATAACAGTCATTTCAACTTTTTTAACGACCAATTCTACATCGAAACTGATGAAAAAGGACCAAATCCACAATTTTTTTAAGGTTTGGACATTAGAAAAAGAAAATGACAAATCACATGGACAATTTTTGCTATTTTGTCCGTAATTTATAGAAGATGAAGAGATGTTGAAAGGCTATATGAATCCGGTTGTTTCAGCTACATACTATGATGTAACCTTTAATTGTTGTTTAATACAAGTTCAAAATTCTATAGTTATCAGATCAAATAATCATTGTATTTCTTCAAATACATATATTCTACAAACTAACCACAATTTCTGTTCTACTAAACTACACTCAAGATTCCTAACAATTGTGTGGTAGGTGTTAACAGTTATTGATGTTGAAAGCTCATTCTGTAATTACATTTGAACACCATATATGTCAATTAAAAGATTCAAACTTTAAATTCAATACCTTCTTTGTTAATGAGGAAAAAAAGTTTTTAATTCATCATGTTCTCAAACTCATACCATCGCATTCCTATTGAAGACTTTATTTTTCCACTAATTTCTTCAAAGCATACAAACATCTAACAATCAATAAAAGCGGTACATCATATAATCCACACTGTGTGCCTAGTGTACACTTCCATCGTTTATAAAAGCGGTACATCATATCATTGTTTTTCTTCTCGGGGACAATATGAGTGATGACACTGGCAAAAACATTTTTCTAAAATTATCATATGGCTCATCTTTTTAATGTGATGACATGGCTTCCATAGAGTGTGGTACGAGATTATCACGCAAAGTTACATCATGAGAAGACTCGTAAAACGGATTTGAGATTCTATTTGATGAAAACCGCCTGCCAGCATCATCATCTAAAGTACTATCCATGTCTATGTTGTGAAAATGTTTGGAATCTTCTTCTGGTTCCCGAATGCTCACCACAGTAAATTTCATGAGCTTAGTGTTAGGATTGATAAGTACAAGTACCAAAATACAACAGTAATACAAGATTTAAATTTAAAATCCAAATCCAACACTTAGGGGTTGTTTGGTTCACTCAGTGCTTTTGGAAAGATTAGAATAGAAGCGGATTGGAATTATAAGAAGATGTAATGTGTCATGTATGTGTTTGGTTATCATAAATGGAATGAAATTGGATTCAGCAATAAAAAATGGATAGCTTTCTATTTTTCATTTATAAATTATTTTTTAACATATGGTGAATATATAGATAACTAACTTTATCATGTGAAACAATTCAAGAATTACCTACAATCTTGCTGCACTTTCTTCCTTGGATATCACAAGAGAAATTTGTCTAGTAACAAGAGAAAAATCGAGTGAATTTTTTCCTATTGTAACTTGAATTCACCATATTCCATTGTCACATGCTTCTCATTGGCGATTTGTTTAGCCGCGAGGGCTCGGAGGTACCTACAGTATAGTGGGACGGGATACTTAGCTTACATAGTGTACACACGTGTTACTAAGAGGGAGAAGGTGATTGCAGACGTGCCCATCCTGCAGGAGTACTGAGTTTACTGATGTATTCCCTGACGAGCTGTTGGGAGTCCCACCCGAGCGCCAGGTAGAGTTTCCATTGACTTGGTTCCTGGTGTCGTACCAGTGGCCAAGACACCCTACCGGCTAGCCCCACCGGAAATGAAGGAGTTATATGAGCAGTGAGAACTATTGGAGAAAGAGTTCATCAGATAATAATAATAATAATAATAATAATAATAATAATAATAATAATAATGTGCACCTGATCCGAGTGTTACAGGTGAGTACATAGGGTTTTCAACCTACAAAAATATAACTAAATCTTTAATATATATCACCAAATAATTAACCAAATTATCCATTCTCATTATTCTCACTCCCTGATCCTAAAATGATGATATCAAGGGACCGATCCTAAAGGATCACTACAAACAACGAGTAGATGGTACTGCTTTGGGGGTTCCATAGCGATATATGTCAATAGGCAACCATAAGGGAATTGAGTACTCAAATGAACACAAAATACATACTCTCGGATAGTATGATTTTTTAACACCTGTAGATTGCGAGCCTGTTAGTGCTCTGTACGACTATTTAGAATAGTTAGTGGTCGTCATCTATAACAGGCCTGGTCCAGACGGTGGGCAACCTGGGCTATCGCCCAGGGCCCATGTCTCTAAGAGGCCCAAAATTCGTAGAATATATGGTATATATAGAGAGAAGAAAATCAACTTATCTAAAAATGCTAGGAAAAATATACATTTTTTTTAAATTAGTTATTTTTGTAATGTTCTGGCCATATTTTTTCTTTTTAATATTAATAGTGAATTTTATAACGGTTTGTGTATTTTAAACTTTACATGCCCATTTTTTCTTTTCGCACTGGGCCCACTATATCTTTGTACCGACCCTGATCTATACTCTGCTAGATGACTAGTCTCGGTAGTACAATAGAACAAATTTGGTCATGACCTCTCTCCATTATTTTATTCTCCATAATCTTCAACATCCAATATGAATTAAGTGCTATAAAATAAATATATGATTTAATCAAGTAAAAATCATGTCATATTATTTTAGCTAACACCGATATCTTAAAAGCATATAATAAGCACATATAACATATAAGATTTTAAAATATTTTGAATCTATGTATAAGCTGAATGTAACTATGTACTCACTTGTTAAAAGTGGATGATTTGTTGTTAGGTTAGCACTTCTCCTAACACCTTAACTTTTCCTTTCAAAAGAACTAGATGTAAATATCACTAGTTCCTAGTTTTTGTTTTGTATTTCTTGAAAACTAAGATAATAATACTTTAGATTACTCAATAATACCAATATATACTTGAAGCTCTATCAAATAAGGAATAACAAGGTAAGATCATATCGGAGGTAGGATCTGTTTGGTATACAGAGTATATAGTTTGGAAAAACAACTCACTAAATCTAGCCTAGACATCACTCTCGTAAGCAGATCAATCAGTATTATGAATTGGAGTCATTGATAAATATTATTTATAGGTTCATAATAACAACTACGAATGTAAATATAAGTTACAGTTAATGCATAGCAAGTGCGACTTAACTTACAAATTTTCTAGCGAGAAACCGGTAATTATGCGAGCAGAACTTCGAAATTGAAAGTTATATTTCTCCGGCCTCTCTGATGCTCTAGAGTGTCGCTACTGTAATGTCTGCGTTTCTCGCTAGGCATTAATAAGATGATGTAATTGTTAGGTTCAACAATTGTAACCTATTTAGTGTGATAAGGGAAAGTTTTGTGAATATTACGTGCTCTATATGTAAATATTTGGAGTATACGTGCTTATAACAAAATAATAAAATAAGAATAAAATACATGTCTAAATAGAATAATAATTTTATCAGAGGAAGTTGTGAGTTTTCTAAGATTCAGCGTAACAGTATACAGCTCAGAAATCAAATTTTAGATCGGTCGAATTTTATCCGAAACAATCTAACGAGCGTTAAAGATCTTGTTGATAGCACTTCAACGATATGCATTTTACACAGACTCTAACAGTCTAATCCTTTATCAAATAACTAAAGTCAAAAACTAGTTGACGACGTCTAAACTGAAGTTGTAGATCTCGTCGATAGCTTCGCGTGGATATAGAGTACATAAAAAATGGAGTCTGTATAAAGAAGTTATGCAATTTTGAAATTTTGAAATTCGTCATGCGTGCACGCGCGGTGCGCTTACCTTCTAGAAGCGGGCCACATGGCTCCAACTAAAATCAGACACGTTTAAGGCAATGGGCGGATCGACGACACGTATTAGTGAAATTCACCCTATAAATAGCCTTGAGTCCCGTGTCCATTTTCCTCACCCCTACAACTCCCCTATCTCGATAATCTTCGGTTTTTAGACCATTTTCTGTAGGTTTAGTATTCTAGAGTAGCCCTGCAACCCCTAGGAGCCCGAAATCTAGTAGCTATTAGCCCGAAGTTCTGCCAGTGCAATTTACAGACTTTTTTCTAGGGAATCTCTGAAAGTTAAATTTCAATATATATTATTTTAGTGTAGTTTATATTTGAAATTCATAGTCGTTGTTATGAATCTTAAATAGGCTTTGTTAGTGGTTCCAACATCATAGTACCGATTGATTTACTTAAGGGGATGATGTCTAGGATGGATTTAGTGAAATGTTTAAAGTGAGATTTTCAAACAATATTCTTTATATACCAAACAGACCCTACCTCCGATATGATCCTACATGGTTGTCTCTTATCAGCTATAGATCAGTAGAAATTGGGATTGTTGAGAAATCTAGACTATTAATTAGTCATAAGAGGTAATAAATTAAGACTTAGAGATAAATGAACCTAGGTCATATTATAGGAAAAGCCAAGTGCTGAAGTGAAGCGCAGTCTAGTTTGCATTTCATCACTTTAATAAGTGAGTGCATAGTTACTTTCATCTTACACATAGATATAAAATATTTAAGATAATTACATGCTATATGTGCCTATTATGTGTTCCTGATATCTATGCTAGATGAACGATATATACATGTTTTATTTGAATTTGAACCGTATATGTATTTTTAATACCTATAAATATATTAGGTAAGGATGGGTAGATGTAAGATGATATAGATGATGAGAGATGAAAGATGATATAGATTTTGAGATATGAAAGATGATATAGATGATGAGAGGCCTTGACTTTTAAGATGTTATAATCATCTAGCAGATTAAAGATGACGACCACAGACTATTCTAGACAGTCAAGTGGAACGCTAGCAGGCTTGCAACCTGTAGGTGTTTTTGAACTAAGTGTTCACTAGGTGTACTCCATCCCCCCACGGTTACCTTATTGAC